ATCTAAGATCATTAAATTGTGGGTTATTTCCTTTCCAAAAACGTAATATTCGGTAAATATTTCATAAATCTATTATTCTCCTTCCTGATTTTCTTCTTTTCGTGAAGAACATTTTTGACATTTTTTGAAGTTTTTTTGGAAAAAACACATTGTGAATTTTTTCGAATCCTACAATTTATTGATTAAAAACGGAAAACATATATGAATATAACGTTTTCGTTTGCTTCATTATTCGATTAAACACCCACATCTCACTTGGTTCGAAAACGCATATACCCATACCTCGAGGTCATGAGTTCGATGTCACATGGTGACACATTTTGCCTTTTTTTGAATCCTACAATTTTTTATTAAAAACAGAAAAGTATGAACACGAAGTCGACCACGACGGCTAGTCTTCTTCGCCGGAAAAGTATGAACACGAAATCGACCGAGAGAGAGAGGCGGAGAAGATGATGTCGTGAGAGAGAGAGGCTAGTTTTTTTGGTTTGATATTTGATATTTAGTTTGATATTTTTTTTATTTTTTTGTATGTTAAAAAGGAAAGCGTAAACAAATGAATATTCTGTTTTTGAAAAAAAATCCGAAAATATTTTAAAAAATTTATTTTTACTAATATTGAAGGTTAAAATTGGGTTATGAAAATATCAAAGGTTATTGAGACAAAAGGATATGTGTATAAAAGTTATTGGGACATTCCCAATTTCAAACTGAGTCAATTTAGCAAATTTATCTATATTTTAAGGGATGTCATATCACACTAAAATTGGACGAGTGATTTTGGTGACGAAACATAAGCTTTTTTTGAAAAATCACTCTTCAATTAATATATAAGGGATTGATGATACATAAATTTTAGAGCAGCCAAATTCCACACTTTTAAATTTGTAGTTTTTCATAGATTTTATTTCTGAGATATTTTTAAATTTTGGATAGGTAAATTTGTGGAGATAACGATTTCTATAATCTTGTAAATGTCAGATTAATCTTGTGTAGATTTTACTAAAGATTGTCATACTTTTAACTTTGGAGTTGATGGTACATAAATTTACATTTGAAACGAAACGAAATGTAATCAATTTATTTAATTGATCTTTTTGGTTGAACAGACTTTTTTGAAAATAAAGTAAGATCCATTAAAATCCAAAACGAAATTATTTTTAAAAGTAACAATAGCTAAAATCTCTAATCAAATAATCGAAAAAGCATGTAAAAATAATCTTCTATTCCGTGAGATTATTTGTTGATAATTTCATCAGTGGAGGCATCATTCTTATCTTCCTTTTGAGCTTGGACTAATTTTAATTATTGAGTTTGAGCTAATTTTAATTAGATAATTTTAATTAGATAATTTTAATTAGATAATTTTAATTATTGAGCTTGAAATAATTTTAATTAGGAATTAATAAACTAAATTAGAGAGAATGTCATGTAATATTTTAAGGGATGTCATGTCACATGAAAATTGAGAGAGTGATTTTGGTAAAAACACCTATGTTTTTTCGGAAAAATCATTCTCCAATTAATATATAAGGGATTGGCGAGACATCTTCAATTTTCAATGCCAAAATAGTGATTAGTAGCATTACATTCCAAGAGAGGTTGTTGTGAAAGTATTTTGGTCTATGAACGAACAAGCCACGACGGCACAGATTCGTCGAGACCTATGCAAATGTTATCAAGAGCTTCTCAACATGCGTAAACAATGTGGCTGACTTTTAAATTTCCTTTCGACTCGCAAACAAATTGTTCCATGTAAGTTTCTTAATATTTTTATTCTTCTTGTTATACCCTATTTTCAAATTAGAACTAGTTCTTTGGGTCTTGGGTTTCTTCATTAGTTTACTCTAATCTATTTGTTAAGTTGTATGATTTTGAGATAATGTTTTTTTTTATATTT